GCTCCCGTCGCCAGGCCGGGCCTGCGGGACTCAGGGACTGAAGCTGAGAGGTTGGAGTAGCGCTGGGTCTGGGCTGCCAGTTTCTCAGCCCTGCACTCTGAAGCCCAAGCAGTGGCTGTGGTTGTGCAGCTTCAGGCCCCGCTCACGCTCCGGAACGGGAGGCTATTAATGGCTGCTCAGAGAGGCAGAAAAAGCAGAAGTATCACCAATGCCCCCACACAGCTGGATGGGGTGAGGGCAGAGCAGGCGGGAGCCATGGCAAGGGTGTGGGGACAGAGGTCAGGAGCTGCACTGCAGCAGCTCTCCCGTGGGGATGGCAGATGGACCAGCGCTCCCTCTTGAGCCAGGGACCAGGGCCCGGTCCCCCTGCCCAGACACCTCACGCAGCCCTGCAGGCTCTGGAGGTCAGTGCTGGACCTCTCCCCCGGGCCCGCCCACGTCAGGGGGCCACGGGCAGCTCTCCAGGTGCGGCGCAGGGTCAGAGTGCCCTGGAGCACCGAGCAGGGTCTAGCCCCCACCCCGAGGCTCCCGCCGGTGCTGAAGGCCTGGGCTCGGCTCTGGGGGTGACTAAGGAACGGGGAGGTGCAGGGAGTTAGCTGGAGCTAGGATCTCTCCCCTTTTAGAAGCAAGAAACACTGTTCAGCACCATGAAGAGCTCATGATCCAGGCACTGCCAGCAGGATGCCCTGTTAGGCCTGGGCCACCGCCATGGGCAGGCACTGGCACTGCTACCACTGGAGCACAGGATAAAATCTTCCCGCTGGGTAAAGAGCAGGAACTAGACACATGCTGGGCACAGCAGCTGCTGGGTGCCATGTACAACCCATGTGTTCGGGGGCGGGGGGGAAGGCCAGCGCGATCTGCATGGCGCCAAGAGGAGCGCTTCTCCCAGTGAGCCACAGGAGATTACAGTTAAGAGCTTGGATCCTGGTGCCTAGATGGGGGGTGATGGGCAGGCAGGAACTCAGGCTGGGGGGCAGGGGGTTCTCTCAGCCTGCTCAGCCCCTATCCTGAAGCTCATGGGGCTGGGGCTGCTGCAGCTTGCAGTGGGGAGCTAGCCCCTAGAGGCAAACCTTTCTCCCTTCCCCACAGCACCCAGGTAACACCTCCTCTTACGGACACATCCACAGCACAGGAGCCCAGGGGCTTGTGGCCCGTGAGGCTGCTTGGGGCAGGTTGGGTCCAGTTCTTCCCTGCTGAGCGGGTTGCAAGGCCCCAGCCCCGGGGGGAAGGAATCCGCACTGGCTGCCTTTTTCCCAGCCTTGCCCCAGGGAAAGCGAGGGGACAAGGGATGGGAAGGGACTTGCCGTGTTGGAGTATCAATGAGTACATGTACTGCCCCGATTCGCCGGGGTCTGAGCTGGGTTCTCTGAGGTCAGGGTCACGGAGGGGGAAGCTCAGCTCAGCCTTGCTGTGAAAGGACTGGGCAGGTTCTCCTCTTTCCCAAGAGCAGAGAGCAGGCAGCTGCTGCCAAACCCACAGGCCAGAGCAGGGCGAGATGCCAGCACCACAGCCCCCGCTTGGAGCTCCCCGGGGACAGGCTGCCCTGAGTCGTCCCCCTTACCTGGCAGGCCACGGCAATCTTCCAGGAGCTGCACAAGAGCCTGGGCGGGTAGTTACAGGCTGGCAGGGAGTCCCCACCGCTCACAGCCCAGAGGGCCAGGGCAGCCAGCAGCCAGCGGCTCATGGTGCGATCAGCCTGGAGGGGAGCCAGAGTGAGCAGAGCTGGGGAAGGAGCCGGGACTTTCAAGGCTCTCTGGTCCCGCCCTCAGCTGCCTGCCTGCCCAACTCAGCCTGTTCTTCCTCCTCCTGTGCCTGCCCCACCTTCCAGCTCAGCTCCTGCTGACACCCGGAACCACAACCACATCTGGGCACCGGAGAGGGGGACAGGGTCCAGGGGACAGTGGGGACGGAACGAGCCGTGCGCTGACCACCTCCTGCACACACCTTTCGCTGTATGGGGGTAACGCCTCAAAACCCCAGGGAGGGGTCAGGGTGCTAGGTGCTGTACACCCCCCACAGGAGCGCTCAGTCTACGTGTAGGACAAGGGCGAGCGGGTGAGGCAGCAGTGGGATGGAGGTGAAGGCAGCAGGCTGGCAGGGCCCAGGAGGGCAGGACAGTGGCGCGGTGGAGACCGACAGGGAGGGGCTCCCTCGGTCCCAGGGCAGCATTGCCCGGAGCTGCCTGGTCCCCATTGTGCCTGTTGAAATCAGCAGCAGTCGCCCTGGAACGCTCTGATTCATAGCTTCTAGGACTGGAAGGGACCTCGAGAGGTCATCGAGTCCAGTCCCCTGCCCGCATGGCAGGACCAAATACTGTCTAGACCATCCCGGATAGACATTTATCTAACCTACTCTGAAATGTCTCCAGAGATGGAGATTCCACCACCTCCCTGGGCAATTTATTCCAGTGTTTAACCACCCTGACAGTTAGGAACTTTTTCCTAATGTCCAGAGACCAGGAGGCTCCCTGGGCTGGGCTGGGCTGGGGCCTGCTCAATGGGGGATTTGTTTGCACAGGAGGGTGCATCTACCTGTAACCCACCCCTGGGCAAAGGGCCCCTTGCTGCCTCCTCGGTGCTCCCAGAGCCAAGGCAGCTTCCCAGGTGCCCTGTGGGGCAGGCAGCCTTGGAGGCAGAAGCGGAGAGCTGGTGCCCACCCCCCCTCATGGAATCCGTGCCCCGGAGGCTCTCAGCCCCCCATGCTGCATATTGGGGGCAGGCTGGCAGCAGAGGGGTCTGCACAGCCATAGGCTCGGCCCCTCCCAATTCGATTAGGAACAAGGGGCCTCGGGCATTACCTGGCAGAGGCCGTTTTGAACTGGTGAGAAGTCGAGAGGCTCAGGATGTTTCCGGGGCAGAACAGCTTGTGTTGGCAGCCTGGCCACAGGCTCCCTGTGCGACTTGTCCAGCCCCCAGGCAGGCGGGTGGCCAGCTATTGCGAGGGCAGAGTGGAAAGCGCCAGGCGAGCCTGGGTGCAGGTCTATGCTGCGGTGGACACGGACACGCCCTGTGGTACGGCCGGTTCCATAGATAAAATGCCACAAGTTACTGTCCCCAGTGGTCATGGGGAGACTCTTCTACACGCGACCCCCATGCTGAGCCAACTACCCCATCCCCCTGCATTACCCTGAACAGTGACAGAGGACACCAAGGCCCAGAAGTGCTGGCGCTTCCCATGGCACGTCACTGCGGCCAGCATTTTCATGAGATTCGAGGAACTTCCCACTTCCCTTTTCCAGGGAAAACCCATCAGCTGGCCACTTCCTGCCCTGGCAGGGGGGTCGGATTGTCACAAGCTTGTCTCCCCGGGGGCCACATCTCCACCTGCTCACTAGGGAGAGCCTGGGGCCCCAGGAGCCCCCAGTTAGAGATCCAGGGCCTAACGTGCATGAGACTCAGTGACTTTCAGTGGGACTTGTGCGCCTGAATCCCTTGGGTGCTATGGGACATCCACCCCATCACAAGCTGGGCACAAGAGCTTTCCACTGCCATGGGGGCCTGGATCCACGTCCTACTGGGGTGACACATGGAGGGAGCACGTAACCCCATGCACTGCAGCCGCCTGTGGGCAGGCCTGGAGCTGCACGGCTGGACCCTGAGGGGCGGGTCTTTTCCCTGCAACTGACACCTTCTAAACAACTGGGCAGGTGTCTCCCTGCCAGAAGCACCTGGAGCCCTGCAGAGGTGGTGGGTGCTGCCTGCCAGAGAGCGAGCGGTGGGGAACTCCCACACTGGCCCAGTTGTACCTGCTGTTCTCTGCCGCACAGGTAACCAGCCAGCTCCTGCTCCAGAGCTCCCCAGGGGGATAATTTAACCCTCGCTCTGGGGAAAAGGGCAGGAATCACAGAAAAAACTCCTGAAATTACAAGAACGTTTAAAAAGAATTAACCCCCCTCATCCAGCAGCTTCGTTCTTTCAGTTTATTTCTTCCTTTGTTTAAAGTACCGTACAAAAATGATCTGACAGTAACAAATCCTGGGCGTACGTTAGTAAACGGGCACAGAGAACGGCTTCTGCTAGCAGACAGAAGAAATGGCGATTAGAGTATTTATTATTGCAGATCTCGTAAGAGCTAAAACCTCAGGAGTGCTCACCAGCCAAGTTCCTCTTGGACAGAGTGCAAATCCCGGCGTGTCAGCCGGCCCCCCCCAGCAGGCAGGGACCCGTGCAAGGAATTAGGCTCTGGTGTGCTCACAATCCAAACACGCTCTTTCCTCCAATGAAATTAGGCTGCAGGCTTAAAACAATCCGCCTCTTGACTAATGCAGCCCAGAGCTTCCTGCAGAACAAGCAGAATTTCAGCATCCTGCACAAAGCCACATGGTCCTGGGGCCAAGGGGGTTCTAGACCAGGGCTTCCTTGGCTGTGACTCTGGGAATTTGGCCTGTGTGCTCCTGCCCCTGAGCTTCCGAGTGCTGCACAAAATAGAATGGATGGAGCCAGGAAGCAGCAGGAGTG